TTTTTTTCCACTTTCTCATTTTCCTACAGTGACCATCACTGTTGAATCAGGTGTCAGAATTGTGGCAGAGGGTCAACATTACAACCGTTGGGCAACAGTGACCATTACACCCTTAACTTTATTGAGAATTTTACTATCATGCCCTCAACCACTTTTCCCCCAATTCATTTCTCATTTCCGTCAGTAGGCGTGCCCTCAAACACACCACCAGCAAGCTCCTTCAACCGACAGAAGTTTGGACGGCACCAGCACCGCCATTCCCCCACTTTCCACCAGACACGAAGTAAGAGAAGGGACGTAGCCCGTCAACGGTGCCAGATTCGCCTCATTCGACCACCTCACCTCCGAGTTCAGCCCCCTACTGTTCGAACCGACAACCTGAGTCCAACACCGGCATCCACAACAACAGCGGCCATGGCAGACTACAGATCGCAGGAGCACTACTACCCGGACCACATGGCAAGTACAATCGTCTAATTTGTTTTTGCACTGTTCGTCGTGTTGAGCAACCCTTTTTGTTTTCCATGTTGTGCTTCCCCCAAAAAAATGAATCTGTATGAACTTGAGGGTCTCATCTACAAGTTGAGGTTTTATGTTTGGGTTGTTTGACAGGGATGCTTACTTGAATAATGTTTTGTTCATTTTGAAGAAAGTAGAAGTATTCCACTTCCAACTAATTACAAAGGATAACAGAATGTGTACGCATTTCACAATTTTGTCAAGACTTGTTACTGAATTTGAAAATCAACGTCCATTGCGTTTTTGCCCCTTCGTTTTATTTGGCATTCTTGTCAATTTCTATCCATGTAAACACTGGAAAATGGACTGTCATGGCCGTGTGCACAGTGGACAGGGTATATGTTCCATTTAATTTTGCTCATCTTATGTTTATTGCTTCAACGTACAACGAATTGAGCTTACCATGTCAGTCGATTTTTGTGTGTTAGCAATACCACGTGAACTGGACAGAACAAAACGCCCCAGCCTTTTCGCCCCCGCAGCAGACCCGTTCCGTTGTCCGGAAGTCTGCAAAATGGGGCTCCCCGGAGCACAAACTATTCATTGCCACCTGTGAAATTGTCATTTCCGAAGGCCATCGACGTGGCAAATGCTTCTCTGCAACTGGATGGCAACGTATTTGTGCCTTATTCAACGGAAAGGCTGGCAAGAACTGGACAACCTCCCAGCTCAAAAACTACTGGAGCAAACTTCGGACCGAGCACAAACACTTCTTCGAGCTCCTGCGGTGTAGTGGTATTGGCTACAACTCGGGCACGGGTACTATCATCGCGCCAGAGCATTGGTGGGTGGACAAAATCAAGGTACCGAGTACTGCTTGAAATTGTTATCATGTTAGGATGCCTGTTATCCACGAAATACATCAATTTTGCTCCCACTCGAAATGAACTAGGATGAATTTAGAAGTGGATATTAATATGGGATTAATCTTCCTTGCTTCATTATTATGTTACGAAGTTGTTATCGTTGTGCCTTATTTTCTCGCGTTCCTCGTTCATGCAGGAGAATCGCAAGTATGCCAAGTACAAGGACATGAACTGCAACGAGATCTACGAAACGTACGGGAAATTGTTCGGCGACACCGGAGATTCGACGAAGTATGCGTTGTCCCCGTCTAAGCTGTCTCAGCGGGGTTTCGACTTGGACACTGAGAGCGATAGCGGCAATCGAGTTGACAAGTTTCCCTCAAATGCGGAAGGAACGGATTCTAGTGACGGCCCCATTGAAGTCGGAGGCAACTCCTCGATGAACATCTCCGGGATGCATAGTGGGGAAAAAAGAAAATTCAAACGTGGTAAAGAGAAAGGGAAGAAAAAAAAATATGGTGCCAGAGAGGTTTCTGCTTCCCTCGATCAATTGGTTAGCGTTGGAACTGATCTTGCCTCCACCTGGAGATCTCATCAGCAGACAGACTTGTCGATCGACGAGTGCGTGAGCGAATTGCTGTCATCTGGACATATGGCTGAAGGCACGCCGATCCACATGTTCGCTCTGTGGTTCCTACGTATCAAGGAAAATCGAACCTCGTACCGTGCTGCCAAAACACCTTACCTGCGGTACAAGTTTATCGAGTACTGCTTCGACCGTGATAATCAGACACTAAACCGCAAGGGTTGAGCGCTGCTCGACGTATGTGTACGTCAAACTCGTTATTATCCAGTTATGTATTTCTAATTGTACGCTTTATGTGTTTGACCGTTCAGTAACATTGTTTGCTCTGTTTTATTATCATAGTTTGCTTTCGTTCTAATTAACATTTCACACGTGTTTGAGAATCCAACATGATTATCTTTTGGAATTTTGAAAAGTACTGCAATGGAGTGACTTATGCAGGGAATATATTCTCTGCAAAAGCCATTTCCATTTTGAAAAATTAACATTGCAGTGTACTGATGCTAATAGTCAAAATATATTCTCTGCAAAAGCCATTGGAATCATTGGACAAATGCCTTTCTATAAAATGATATTGCAACCAAATACAAGTTGCTACCTTACACGATCCACAAAATTAGTTGCAGTGGAGCATTAGAAATTCTCCTTCATAAAACTTGTCCAGGTTTCAGGCAGTTCCATTACTTCAAAAGCACATTGTCTCAACAAATAAGGAATATAGTACGTGTTTAAGAGAAGATGTCGACCTACTCGACATTATACTCCTTCGACGAATCTGAGTTCAACCTCGACCACACTTCAGAATCCAACAACGGTTCTGACGAAGATGTAACGATGCGGTTGGAAGCAGACACAATCGCATGGCTAGAATATTGTAGAATAGCCGAGCGCATTACCCGCGATTACCTGGCACCGAGGGCTGCGCGTCATTACTTGTTTCCAACTTCAAGATCCGGTCACATTTTCATGCTACAGAATATGCACGTATATCCGCAAACTTGTTTTCAAGAGTTCCGGATGTATCCTCCGATGTTCATGCATTTCACACATATCCTTCGCGATGAGTACGGTATTTCAAGCAGTGCTCAGATCGATGTGTACGAACAGGTTGGAATGTTCCTATGCATTTTGGCGCACGGAAAAGGTTATCGTCAGGTGCAAACTCTATTTGGACATTCGTTGCAAACAATCGGTCATTATTTTAAGAAGGTACTACGTGCTTGCCTTGCCTTCTCGGTGGACATGGTAAAACCGGATCCGGGGTACAACGAAGGGGCAACTCACCATCGTCCGCATGCAGAGCGTTTTCCGTACTTTCAGGACTGCATCGGCGCGATCGACGGAACACATATAAGAGCAGTTTTGCCCAGAAACGGAAGAGAGAATTTCATTGGCAGGAAGGGGATTCCGACACAGAATGTGTTGGCAATATGTGATTTCAACCTTTGTTTTACGTTTGTGTTGCCAGGAACCACTGGTAACACACATGACAGTCGCATATTAGTCCGAGCTGTGCACAGTCCAGAGGTTAATTTTCCACAACCTGCGAATGGGAAATATTACCTGGTCGACTCTGGGTTCGCACATAGGCCCGGGTATATGGCCCCTTACAAGGGTTCTGATATTAGATATCATTTTCAAGAATTTGGGAGTGCTGGGCCTGGCCAACGTCGTCGTTTCAGAAATGCACGTGAAAGGTTCAATTTCCATCATAGCTCATGTCGCAACGTTATCGAGCGTGCATTTGGTGTTTGGAAACAGAGATGGAAGATTCTTGATAGGATGCCTGCGTACAGTATGCGAGTTCAAACCGCCGTGGTGGTGGCCACAATGGGAATACATAATTTTCTACGGAGAAACGGTCAACTGGATGAGGGGTTTATGAGAGCCGAAGAAGAGGACGACGAAGTTGAGATAGACCTCCCGGATGCAGAGGATGAGATTGCTGCCGAGCAAGATGCAATAGTCGAAGAGGATATTCCATGGCAACAGCTGCGCGATTATATGGCACAAACGATATGGTAGTAGGCGTGTATTCTATCGAAATATATCGTCCGTGTACGCAGTTGTCATGTATTTCGTCCGGGTTGCAACACCATTACGTTTGGAGAAATATCGTATGAGTTTGTCGTATTTGGGAAGCCAGATTTTCGGTTTCTAATTTCGTAATTGAATGCACGTAAAAAGTTCCGTTTTCTTTCTCGTTGTTGAGCAATTAAAAACTTATTGGACATATTTCTCAAAATAAATCATTTGACGTGGGAATATTTTCACTTGTACAGTATTCCACAATGTTTGAAGTCATGATGAACCGGTCCCACAATAATATATGATTTTAGTATAAAAGGGCACTCTTGTCAAACTGAATTACATTAGTCATTTGCTTAACCATGCATGTGAGCTGTCAGGGAATCCATCCCTTCCGTCAGAAGATTGATGTGAATAGTTGAAAAAATGTTGGGAAAAAAATAGGATTTTTGCCCCTGGTTTGTTTGCCTTAAATAAATCTAAGTTAAAGTTAATAATTGACTTTTATCAGAACTTATTAAAAAATTGATTTTTAACAAATCAGATGAGCCAAGTCTAGCTGTACCTGGCCTTCTATAAAATAATTTTTCCCTCAAAAGGAAAATGTATTTCTATTGATTTTCATTGTGTACTTGTTTCATTATATATCTGTATGTACAAACGGTTAACTTGTTAAGGGTGGTGTTAAACGTACATAATGGTGTACATAAGAATTTATATTCCCTTCACATGAAAGAGGGGTCCGTGTAAAATAAATTGTATATAAGGGAATTTACACTCTCATGTGTGCAGGTAGTTTAATTCACTTTTTAATCTTCTCACCAATTCACTTTCAGTGTACTTTTAAAGAAAAGATTCAATCAAAAAATAAATTCTTTCTATGTTCTTTTTTAGACAAAATCTTGATCGCCAAAGGATAAAGAAATCACTCACATGGGTTTGGTACCAATTAAAATTTTAAGTAAAATCAAAATAAATTTTAATCATATATTTTATGAGTTCTATAATTTTTAACCACATATTTTATTAACTTCTATTAAAATTTACTAAAAATCTGATTTTAATCTGGACCAAACAAGGGCTTAATTAGTTCACTTTAAATCTTTTCGCACGATATTAAGTATTCTCTCATGATAAAAAAAAAATACCAAAATCAACTCTCTCGTATCATTAAACACACACACACACTCACACTCACACTCACACCCAACTCAACCCCAACCGTTTAACCAACACAATGTCTAGTTCAATTGATTTACCACCATGCTTGATTGTCATGACTATCGAGTATCGACACCTCCTCTTTCACGTCATCCATCATAGTACTTGCTATCACAACACGCACTTGCTTCGCCGAGGGCTTTAGATAAAATTTATTAGGGTCTTGTTCAAAAATAATAATAAATAGATTTGAGTATCATTTTTTTGCAAAATAAGTATTTTGAAATAGTGATTTTATGAACAAAGTGTGGTTAAAAAATAAGGAAATTTTTTGAATTTACTCGTAATATTATTTTATTTAAAAATGTGTGATTGAAAATAAGATAGAAAAAAATGTATTTTGAAAATAATGAGTATCAAAGAAGGGCTGAATGGAGCAAATGTTCCCATTTACAATTCATTGGGACTTCATTGCAATTAATTTTTTTTTAGAAATAGGTCATACTTTTACATAAATTGAACAAGAAGTCCCATTTACAAATCTTAGAACTCTCTTGAATGCCAAACCTGTATATATTGACGACTGATGAATGTACTATCGTTACAGCAACTCCCATACATTAAATCCATCTCTCTCTCTCTCTCTCTCTCTCTCTGACAAAAATGCTTATGAGGTACAATTCAAATGACCTGTGATATTTCTTAAATGTGAATGTGCAATTTATTTCAAGTGTCTCCTATCTAAATCTCCAGACCTGCATCTACGCAGACTATAAACTAAGAATGATAAGGTCAACTTAGAATTGCTGTTGGAGAAACAGAAAGTAACGTGCGGGCTTCGATGATGCTTGCCTCATTGGATGAAACTGTGCTATATTTTACTTCTATTTGTGCCAATGTAAATTGTAAGTTAAATCCAGTAACTTTATTCCTTCATCAAGAAGTTTCACACTTTCGGATGGTTAAAGATGTTCGGTTTGGATGAATTAGGGTGTGATCTGAATTCTATTTGAAAGTCTATTTGGAAATTCTAGGTGAAATTCAATTTGAGAGTTCAATTGGTAGTTTGAAATTTATTTTGGATTTTAAGAAGTTATGAAGGAGTCCAAATTGCAATAGTTGAAGAAGAAAACAACAAACTGACGCTCACTACTTGCCTTGATCGTGCTCAAGCACTCAAAATAGGGAAGCTTGTGCTAGCTAACCGTCAGACGGTCGCTCGAGCGGCATGCCATCGCTCGATGTCTGCCAGATCGTTGCTCTTATTCGAGTTGAAACAGTTAGCGATTTTTGCGCAATTTTTGTATCATATTTTATCCCAAACACTCAATTACTATATATATTTAGTATAGTTGAACTTCATCACATCTTAGGTCCTTCTTTGCACTATATATATGAGAAGTAAACATCTAAAAAAATCAAAATTTACACACAATAATTTGTAATCCTTTATATTATTGATTATTAATAAATTCTCCCATTCTGTTCGAGGTATAAGTAAATCTTGTGTTCTTATTTAATCTAATTTTAATATCGTTGTATTATTATACTCGTTTAAACCATAATAAGTGGTATCAGAGTGAGGTTCCATTAACTCAATTTGAGGTTTAATTTTTGTGATGAGAACTATAAAGTATGATATTCCGCTGCTGAATCGTAACACCAAATTTTCACTTTGGCAGGTAAAGAAGTGAGCAGCCCTTGCTCAAATGAATTTGGACGATACATTGTTGAGATTTGAAAAAATGTCTACAATTTGGACAATGGAGGAGACAACATAAGGATCGAAAGTCATTATCACAGATACATCTTCATCTCTCGAATAATATTCTTCAAAAAGTTTTGAAGGGGGAAAACCATTGCTGCATTATGGTTCAAGTTTGAGCAATTTTACATGATGAAAAATCTAACCAGCAAATTGCATTCGAAACAATGCTTGTATTGTCATCGTATAATAGAAGGTACATCACTGAAAGATTACCTAACAGTTTTAAGGAAATCGTCGTTGATTTGAAGACCTTGGAGGTCAAGTATGA